ACCTGGACTACATTATCGTTGTCTATAATTGGAACAATGCATCTAGAAATTTGCATAAATTAGAAAATTTGATATTTATGTATTAACTCATTCATACTTCATAAGGCGCATTCCTTGAGATCAGGCGAAAGTAGAATTCATGATTAAAATCATTAAATTTATGATTGGAATAGAGTTGTAACAATAGGCTTCATGTCTTGTTAAACCTGAAAGCGTTTTCCTGATAAAGTTTCTCAAAAGAGGTGTGCGATAGACTTATCTCCACGTGGTGCACTCTGGGCAATGTATACTCATACGGCAAAAAGTCTATTAACTGGCTGTTGGCATATGACTTCGAACTATAATGGCCCCACTGTATGTCATATTCTACCACTTCCGCAGTACTCACCTCTCCTTTTTCTCTGCCTTTGTGCCTGTCAGTCCCTTTTACATCTTTGAATCTCTCTTCTGCTACCCCTCTCGAATTTTTCTCACTTTGATGTTCCTCCCCTCTGTGAAGCCCGAAATTAGCTAAAGGGCTAATGATAATTATCAAAACGCCTGATATTTGATATAAATAAATAAGTTTCTCAAATCTTTTAAAGGTGGCTGACACATCGAAACATTTATTTTTGTGTTATTAAGTTATAAATCAATAAAGGATAAGATTTTCAATTTGAATGAACATCTTGGCTCACTTCAATTTCTAAAAATTGAGAAACCTTTTCTTCGGCAGAATCCAAATATTAGGTAACTTATTAAAAAAATTATTGATTTGGCAAAGGGAATAACTGTTCACTTTCACTGTAGGGATCTCGATTAAGAATACTGGTGCAAATAAAATACGCTTTTAACTTTGGCATTTTGGGAAACAAGTAGTCATTAAATTAAACAATTTCTTACAAATCAGAGCTAACTTGCATTGTTTATAAAGTGCATTTTTGTAGCATCACTTCAGAGTATAAATATTTACACAAAATGAGACAGTTGTCATACGCGGAGGGCCCGGAGATGGCTATTGAGGACAAACGTGTTTATACTTCAAGTTGGAGAAGAGTAGGGGGAGGGGGGGGGGTTGGGATAAGGAATTGTGTTTGCATGAAGGAGGTGACGCCCTGAAACAGATGTTAAGGGAAAGGGAGAGTTCAACTATAAATCTGTGAGAATTGTTTACATTAAATCATGGGAAAAATGCAGGAATTGGGAGAAGTGTAGCCTCAGCACTTCAATAGTGATTGATTATAACAGTATTCATACAAAGCTACTCTGCATCTAACAAATAGCCCTGATTTGACTATTGGAAATACAACTATAAGGCTCGTCTTATTAGTAATATACATTAGTGTATCATTGTCTCGTTAATTAAAACATCCTTTCAATTTCGGGTGTTCATTTGTTTTCCGTAAATTATTTGATAACAATTATAACTAAATTAACATTATTAATATTTTCATGTGGGATGTGTGACAGACTTTACCTCCACGTGGTTCATCCTGGGCAACGTATACTCATACGGCAAAAAAGTCCATAAACCGGCAGTTGACTTCTGACTTCAAACTACCATGACCCCACTGTTTGTCATATTCCACCTATTCTACAATACTCACCTTACCTTTTTCTCTACCTTTGTGACAGTCTGTCTGTCTCTTTTACATCTGCGAATCATTTTTCTGTCCCCCCCCCTCTCGACTTTTTGTCCTTTTGATGTTCCTTCCCCTCTGTGAAGCCTGAAGTCAACTAAAGGACTAATGATAACTTTCATAAAGCCTGCCAATTAATATAAATAAATAAATGATTATTTTCATGTTTTTTCTTTCTATAATTAATAAAAACTTTCATACTGAGTCATCTTGAACTCACGGTTCAAATCGGCAAGTAGACTTAGCGTGTACTCATGACCTGTGGTCAACTAACTTGAGCTTGATTAAGTAATGGAAAATCAAGCCTCGCAAACTCTCGCTGAGGCAATGCCATAATTAGTTTAGTGTTTGATGCTATCGGACCAAATCTGTTTCCTTTCATCTCCAAAGGATTAAAACCCCTTCGCAGAATCATTTATAACCAGCGCGTCTTCATCACTTGTTGAACACTTTTGGCATTCTTCCGAATGCTTTCAAACAAATATGATGAAACACTACCGTGAGCAATAATTCAAATGAATGATAAAAGCAGGAATTCTCATATTTCACGTTTCTAACTCTGTTTTTTCGTCCCCCAAATGAAACGAAATTTACTTCTTGTAAAAAAATATTTGAACTTTATTGACCGGAATACTTACTTTCTTTTCGAAAAATCGCCTTCTCATCATTATTGCAATAAATTCGTAATTTATGAAATCGAGGCAGGGAAAACCTCATTTTATGTAGATGTTTTAGTTTGCATTAAGCGTCTCGGCCCAGTCATTGTGTGTAACTCAATGGTGACATTCCAGCTTAATTTGATGTCAACTGCCTAAATTAACAAATAGAATCTGTCATAGAAATTCGTTTCACAAACATAAATTGCTTTATTTTGTCAATAAAAGACTAGAATTTATTTATACCGAATGGCGGGCTTTATGATAGTTATCATTAGCCATTTAGTTGACTTCAGGCTTCACAGAGGGGAGGAACAGCAAAGTTACAAAGAATTGAGAGGGGGAACAGAAGAGTGATTCATGGAGTTAAAAGGGACAGACGCAAAAGGTAGAGAAAAGGAAGTGATAGTGGTCGAATATGGCATACAATGGGGGCTATGGTAGTTTGAAGCCAGAAGTCAACAGTCGGTTTATTGACTTTTTTGCCGTATGAGTATACGTTGCCCAGAGTGTACCACGTGGAGGTAAGTCTATCGCACACCCCTAAAAGACTATCATTTGATCTTGGAGTGATGCTTGAATTAGGATGTTACGTTTTCTTAAAATTCAGACCCATCCCCATCTGAGAGTTGAGATAGGGTTCAGTAAACACCTTCGTTTTATGAGCTGCCATAAAATTATCTTCTACTAGAGGTCGCGACACCATCTGATATGACCATTTGGTTCGATTAGAGGGAATCAAGATCTGCAGATGGCGATGATAACTTAGCACCTCATGTTCGAAGTAAAACCTAATCCATCCTTGAACTGCAATCGAGGTGTCGATTACTTGTAGTTGGTAAGGAGCGATAAATTAAGGACAGCAAAATATGGCAGTCAGTAGGAGAAAATTCAGATCAATTCCCACCTGATTGCTTTGTTCCCAAGTCCCATTGAATCTCACTTTTATCCTCAAAGACGGATACGATTTCTTTATTTCGGAACAAAGGGAAAATGACAATGAGAAATAGTGAAAACCAATAAAGATAGGGGCCTTTCCAGCTTGAAAAAATATCAGTTTCTCTAATAGAGGATTGAAACGGACTCGATGGCAGAACGTTTCATTAGAAAAGAACAAAAAAATGGCAATACTCTTACAACCGGAAGATAGTTGTTAGATAATGAAGATAATCGATAAAATAGCATAAGGATTGGATAGAAGAGTCATGTGCACCGTCAAAACAATAATCGAAAATCGATAAATGAATCAGCGGAAAATGCCCTCAAAATTGTGCATCGTTTGTTACTACACTAAAGTTATCTGCACTTTCTATTTCTTTGATATTTCGTTGGGCAAAAATTATGTATTAACAACTAAATTTTGTAGTCTTGAATGAAGATTGAGATGGACACCAATTTTAACCCCCATTTAGGTTATTGGGATTTGTGCCCAGGGAAGTATTCAATCAACACCAATTGAGTAAATACCACCTGTCTAATTGGGATTAAAATATCTTTTACATCTGCATGTTCGAAATATTCCTTTTGACCTCACCGAATCTTATCAACTTCCTCCATCTGCTCTTATCTAATTACATGTGAAGTGTGGACTGGTGGCTCAGCACAGTCGCATGGCATGGAGCAAGCTAGATGAAAAGAACAGTCTGACTAACAAGAGACATGGAAGAATTCGAGTTCTTCACCAGGAGACTCTACGTTGGAATCCCTCTACCAAAGAAATTATTTATTTCAAATGGCAGGCTTTATGATATTTACCATTAGTCCTTAAACTTTGACTTCAGCTTCCCCCAAGGGAGGGGGGGGGGTACATTTATAGCAGTTAATTAATAGCAGTTCATTAGCTTTCTTCTTGCTTCCCAGTATCTCTGGTTTACCGTCGTTGTCTTTAGAGTTGGACACCGAATCAGGTGGGTTTTCTCCATTTCCTCCTGTAGGTTACACAAGGGGCATGTGGGTTGAGTGTACAATCCCAACCTGTGAAGGTGTTTTGCCAAGCAATCGTGTCCGGTACGTAGTCTAAACTCAGCAACGGCTTCGATTCTTGGCCAGTTGGGTATGTCGGAGAGTGACACTGTCCACTGTTTCTCCTTTGTTCGAGCTTTGAGTTCGTTGAACCTTGAGGTCTGGAATTCTCTCCTGATTAAGGTCTTCATTGAGTGGAAAGATATCGGCTGGTCCATGCATTGCAAAATCGTTGTCCCCTTCTTAGCAAGTGTGTCAGCAAGCACATTGCCTTTAATGCCACAGTGACCAGGAATCCATTGTAGGACCACTCTTTTGTTTTTCTCTCTCAGCAGCTCATAGAGTTTTCTACATTCCTTTATCTCAGCCGTTTTGGGTGGCTCTCTGTTTCCAATTGAGCTTATTGCTGACTGTGAGTCGGAAAGTATCACCGCTTTGGTGAATTTAGTATCTAGGCAACATAATTGGTATAGTGCTATCCTAATGGTCTCTATTTCTCCTTCAAAAGCGGATCTATTGTGTCCCGATGCTGCGTAGAAAAAGAAGAGTTCAGAATAGACACCTGCACCAACGGTTGCTTGATTTTCTATGCATGACCCATCAGTGAAGACTTGGAGACATTGATCTCCAGGATAGTTGACATTGATTGTCTCAAGGGCGGGGTGCGCGATAGACTTACCTACACGTGGTGCACCCTGGACAACGTATTTTCTTACGGCAAAAAAGTCTATCACTCGGCATTCGTTTTCGACTTCGATTTATTATGATTAGCTTGAAGAAAGGGTATAAGAAAAATCGCCCTCGTCAGGGGGAATCACAACGTCTTCAGATCCTCCAGTGGAATGCTGGAGGAATGTCTCCGGACAAAAAGATCCAAATACAGAAAATCCTACAAACCTATGATGTAGACATTTTCACAATTATGGAAGCTAACATTTCGGATGACAAACTGAAGTACTACCGATTCCCAGGTTACACCCTGTACAATCTACCTAAATACCGGCAAGTTGCAAGTGGAATTCTAACTGGAGTAAAAGATGGCCTCGCCTCACACTACGACCTAATCAAGAGTATGGGCTCGACACAAGACAAATGTGAAATAATCAGATTAAATGTTTGGAAATGTCAAAACCACTTCAAGATATATGCAGTCTATAATCCACCCCAGAATTGTCCCAACTTTGACATTCTGAACATCCCACACAAAACTATACTACTAGGAGACTTCAACGCCCACTCCACCAGATGGGGCTACAAGGATACAAACATAGCTGGAAAGGAAATTGAAGACATGTTAAACAGCAACCCTCTGGAACTTATTTACAGCAANCCAAAAGCCAAGGAAACCATGCTGACGCTTTATAACAAAATCTGGGAGACCAGTCTTGTACCAAACCAATGGAAAGTTGCAATTGTAATACCAGTACTAAAAAGGGCAATGACCCTAGCAACTTTGACAACTATAGGCCTATCTCCCTCACAAGCGTGCTGGCTAAACTTATGGAAAGAATGGTTAACAGGAGGCTGACCTGGTTCCTTGAGACTAACAATATTCTTAGGAGTGAACAAGCAGGTTTTAGGCCACAAAGATCAACGAACCAACAAGTAGCCACTTTCTCCCAACACATCAAAGATGCCCTTGATGCACGAAATACCCTTACGGCGGTTTTCGTCGACTTCAAATCAGCATATGACTTAGTATGGAAAGAGAAGCTAATTCTAAAATTGGCAAAGATTGGTATTAAGCATAACATGCTAAACTGGATAAAAGCATTCATTGGACAAAGATCGTGTAAAGTCAGATACGGAAATGCTCTATCAAAATCCAATCTTTTGCAAACAGGCCTTCCACAGGGAGCTGTCACAAGCTGCACTCTTTTCAATGTCTTCATCAATGACATAGCCGAATTGGTACAGACAGTCACGGGCATCAAGTGCTTACTTTACGCAGATGATCTTGTACTATGGTATTCCGCCCCTAAGAAAAACGCTCAGGAGAGGACAGAAAGTGCCCTAAATTGTGCACTTAAACTACTAGCAAACTGGTGCGACAACAATGGAATGGTAATCAACACTGCAAAATCTTTACTTCGCTTAGTTCCCTATTGACGTCTTCAAGGGTTCACCCAATGCACCTTGTCATCACTTCCTTTTTCCCTCTCGCAGAATCCTTCATATAACGGTTAACTGGAATCACGTGCAGTATGTTAATATTTGTCCAAAATGAATACAAGCATGAACACCCTTTAGCGTTGGATAACACTTTTGATTGGTTGACGGAAGGGTTAACAAGTGCTGAAGGTGATGGGATCAAAGAGATGCTGACAGCAACTTACTTCACTTGATTTTAGGTTTGGAGTGTATAATTTTAACTAGATGGATTGTTAACAGCCTAAATAATTGAATCAAATTTTTATCCACCCTGCTCTGTGACTAAAAGTCAGTTTATTAACCAAGATGATCGGCCACCTCTCTTCAATTTATTTGGCCCCCAGTGGTTGAGAAATCAAACACACCCTTCGTGATATTCAGCAGCTTGATGTCTTAATATATCAGAGATGAAATAGTTACTTTAAATATTTATTTATTTGTTTATTTCATTATCATTAGCCATTTAGTTGATTTCGAGCGTCACAGAGGGGAGGAACATCAAAATGACAAAAAGTCGAAAGGGGGGGGGACAGAATAATGATTCACAGATGCAAAAGAGACAAACAGACTGACACAAAGGCAGAGAAAAGGTAAGATGAGTGCTGTTAAGGGGTTGAATATGACATGCAGTGAGGTGATGGTAGTTAGAAGTCAGAAGTATACGCTAGAAGAGCATACGTTGCCCAGGGTGCACCACGTGAAGGTAAGTC